TATATTTTCCATCAGCTTCATCAAAGAGTCTTAGTATCAAGAGTAGGTTTTTCCTAAATAATGATCTGAGAATTTTCTTTGCCAAGCGGTTGTTAAAGTACATGTTGAAAATCCACTTTGCTCCAAAGATGTTTTTGACAGGTTTAGCTGATGAGTGCTGGCATCACAACAAGGGATTCAATGAGGTTTGGCAATCCCACTTTTGTCAGTCTTTAAGTATTGTAGTTTTTCCAAAGATCTAAACAGATTCCTGTTTAATATGTTGTTACAAACCAATAAAGTAATCATGCATACATATTTGAAATATTTTGATAAGCTGGGTGTCCCCAAATGTTAGATGGACAGTGCACTCCAACCACCCAATCGCTTTAATCCCATCAATGTGTTAAGACTCCTTCTCTTCTGCTGTGGCAACATGCCACAACATCCTTTTATATCAGTGTGACGACAAGCCACAGCACCTACACTATCGCTATGGCAACATGCCATCTTGGTATGCCACTTCCTCCTGCATGGACTGTCACCATGCCAACATAGATAGGCCTGCCCACACAGCTTACACCTTTTTTTTTGGTACCTATGTAGACCTGGGGCAGCATGGCAGCTCCTGACCCACACTGGCATGATCTCAGTCCTCCAGCACTCTAACTCACCACTGCTGTTTTTAGAGCCAGCATCTAACCCATTCCCAACAGTTCATTACTGGATGCAGTTCAGTATCCATGGCCCAGAGACAGCACAGCGCCAATTCATGCCTTTAAAAAGTGGCCAAAGATAAATGTTTATGACCACAGAATGGCCAGACTGGGAGCAAATGGAACAAATTAAAACCTCACTAGAATCAGGACGATCGAGCCAGACTAGGCAGCAATGCCGCTGATACTGACTTTTTTTTGTGAGTGTGTGTGTGTTCATGTTGAGAAGAGGAGACAGAAGAACACCTGCTCAGTAATCATCAGGAACAAACAGACAAGGTATGCAGAAAACACTGCAAAGAAAGGTTGAGCACTTTCAAGTGTTTAGTGGCAGTCTTTCTTTTGGATGCCAGATAAGAAGAACAGGCCTGGGTTTTGAATTTCATTTCAGGGAAGAAATGCAAGAAGAAGCACAGAGACCCGGAGTTTACTGCGCGAATGATGACCATCAACTAGCCTACTTCACTGATTCTCACCCTCTCCATTAGCATAACCAGATTTAATTTTAAACACCACACACTTATCTTACATTTCATTGCCTCATGTTTTCTTTGTAATTACCATCACCATGCTAACTACACTAGCTAGGTTACACCAGGGACTAGCAAAAATTACAAAAATTACATTTGAATTATATAGGGTGGCACGGTGGCGCAGTGGGTAGCGCTGTCGCCTCACAGCAAGAAGGGCCAGGGTTCGATTCCCGGCGGGGCGGCCAGGGTCATTTCTGTGTTTGCCTGTTCTCCCTGTGTCTGCGTGGGTTTCCTCCGGGTACTCCGGTTTCCTCCCACAGTCCAAAAACATGCAGTCAGGCCAATTGGACATGCTAAATTGCCCCTAGGTGTGAGTGAGTGTGTGATTGTGTATGTCTGTCTGTCTGCCCTGCGATGGACTGGCGACCCGTCCAGGGTGTATCCTGCCTTCCGCCCAATGACGGCTGGGATAGGCTCCAGCACCCCACCGCGACCCAGAAGGATAAGCGGTTTAGATGATGTATGTATAAACATTTGAATTATTTTTTACAAATAAGATTAGGAGTAAACAATGACTTCTTGCAGCATTTTCAATGGCAAAAGAGCAACATATGCAACAAAACTATTTTTTTTATTTATACTTTTAAGCAATCAAAACCTTAAAGAGGATGGGCTGGACTGAGTTCCAAATGCTACATCATACGTATACTCCAGAATCTTATTTGAATCTGATAACATAAGAAATGCAGTGAGGCATGAGGCAGTAAGAAAGAGGTAGGTTTTTGGAGCAGATTTCCATTTTGGCAAAGTACAGCAGCCATCTACTAATCTACTGGTAAATAAATGATTGCATATACGCACTCACTATTTCTAAATACTGTACGTATACACATACCTACACGGACATACACCGCTATATCTGGTCTTAATGTGTGGTAAACACCTGATGTCATTTGGCTTTTTTTTTTTCAGAATAAAGACAGTGGACCCAATGTACTAAGCCTTTCGGCCAGTGGCACAAATCGGATGTGTTCTGCCTATGTCTTCTGTGCAAAACAGGCAGTTTATGGGCCCAATTCATGGAAAAAATGCAAAATGCCCTTCTCTTCCTCATGCACATCTTTATAGCTGTAGGCCTTTACACAGAATATGAACAAGACACTCTAAATGAAAATAAATGCACAATTACAAACAGGAAAAAAAATTAGCCTTCTAGGCATATGCCCAAAAAAATATGGTTTTAACCTTTTTTTAAAACACCTATTGGAATTAAACTAATAATATTCTTTGCAATGCTATTTTAGATCTAAGACAATGATCTTCCACCACCTGAACTTAAGTGATCCTAGAAGTTTGCAGTAAACCTGCCTCAGCTGAGCGATGCGGTTGGGATGGGTTATAACACTTCAACAGGTCAGTAAGATGTGCCTGAGCCAGTGTGAACCGAATAAGACTGGAGTAATATGCTCAAACTTTCTTTTCCCGGTAAACACACAGGCTGCTGCATTCTGAACTTGCTGGAGCCTATTTAGAAAGACAGCAGGGCAACCAGCCGGTAACACATGACAGTAGTCTAATCTAGAAGTTGTGACAGCATGAACTAATTTCTAAACATCTGATAGGAATAGCATCTTATTTTGTCTTATTTTCAATATGTTTCTTGAGTAATAAAACATAGTCTAAGGCCTGGAACACATCACACTGACTGTTGGCCTTCGGTTGCCATCAGGCCGGTGGTGTGGGTCAACGTCATAGTTAGTGCAGTGCGTACGGCACTACTGGTTCTAGTTAGTACTTGTCAGCACCTTTTCGGCTGATTCAATATATTGAATCACATCGCTAGTCTTCAGAGAAGGCAAATGAGGAAAAAAAATGAAAACAAGAAAGAAAGCAGCTCAAGAAAACAGCACTCTCAACTCTTTAGTTTTAGCACTAGGAATGGGCTTTTTAACTATTTTTATTGTTTGAATGTCCAAATATTTAAATGAATATGATTATTATATTCAAAATAACAAATCCAAATAACAAAAAAAGGTGACTTTTAGCTTGTTCTGGCTACTGCACATGCACATACCTCCACAGCGACAGGGATCTTGTCCCGCTAGTGGCTTAACCAGCAAACTGATAAGCATTAAGTAAGCATGTGCATGTATAGAATGTTTGGTGGAGGAAAAAGCACTGCTATCACTTCATCACTGAACTTTCACTCTATTTTGTCTCAAGCTTGTTGATGGCTCCAATACTTCACAGCAGCTTTTAAATCACAAGATTGCACGCACAGTTAGTGGATGGGGGTCCGCACAATTCACATGATAAGCTGCAACCGCAATAATGTCTGCGTTGAAAAAACATCATTCCGCACCTCATAGCAATATGTTGCTGATGGCAACATGAAGCCACGCAAACGCTGGCATTGTAACGGGTTGCTAGCGAAAATGGATGTTTATCAAAAGAGAGCTTTAGCAGTGTATATTGTTTTTTAAGTTGGAAAAAGGCAGGAGGACGCACTGTACTCCTTTATTTTACTCTCCTCAAAAAAATCAACATCCAGTTTATTTCACCACTGCAGTCAACAGCAAAGGCTGGGAAAACTGAACTTGTGGTGGCAGAATTTTTCACTGCGGCTCCTCCAAACAATTAAACAATGAAATATCCGGTTTGCCGTAGAACGTATACCACAAACATGAACGTATCATTAAAGCTACTCATCAGAGTATCAGAATTCAGTGAAGCAGGTAAAAATGTGTGTGTACAGATGCCTCTGTGTGTGTGTGTGTAAGGAAGATACTGTGCTCAGTGAAGCAGGATAAAACGCTGTCGGCTCTCCCCTTTAGTCAATCACCACAGAGGCAACAGCAAAGGGCAGAGCAGGTCTTCTGTTGACTGTCCTGTCTGTCTGCTGGGACATGGTGTGTGTTTGTGTGTGTGTGCGCGTGTGTGTGTGGTGTGTGTGTGTGTGGTTAACAGGCATCTGTCCACGCTAATACTGATGTGAAAAGACACCTGCGCGTGGGCTTACGGTGATCTAAACAGACACCTGCACTTACTGGCTCTGAAAGACACCTCAAGAGGCCAAAAAACTCAAACGGGGACAAAATGTCTGAGTGAATAATTTAAGAGCTCAAAATGGAGGAGGGAGGTGGGTTTTAGAGAGATAGAGAGAGAGCACAGCACAGTACTGTTCATGGGCAGATTTATTAGTAGAAATGATCTAAGTGATCAATATAAGCCAACAGGTCTGGAGGAGTAATATGAATTGCTGTATGACACACACACAATGCACAGGGTAAATAAATACTGGGGATGTACCATCGGAATCAGCAGATTTTTTGCTCTGCACATGTAATCAGCAATCAGTCAATTTACTACTATGATTTTGGCCATGTGTGGTCATTTTATGACGTAAATAATGTGACGCAGATAAGTGCACTCCCGCTGTATTTGAATGCCGCTGCTACACCTACACCAAAATGTCATAGTATAATTATGCATGACTCATTGTGCTAAATAGCCAGTTGCCTTTTTCTTTGAATGTAGCAGTTTATTTGATAAGCAACTGATTTTTCATTTATGAATTTAAAACGGTTTGGCCCATTAAAGAGCAAATAATGTTATTTATATTGGAACATAGGCTAATAGAAGTACTGGAAATGTGCTAATCTACTTTATGTATTCATTAAGATCAACCCAGTATGAGCTTTGAGTTTTAAAAAAGGCTAATAAAAAAAGGCCATTAGCCAATCTGGCTATAAAGACACTGGGATCTGCCATAAACATTCATGATCGGTGCATCCCTAATAAATACATGTGTGGGTATGCATTTCACACTCACAGTTCAATGGCTTTGTTCCACATGATGGTGTATCCTGAGAGGGTGAAAGACTCCACGTTTACGATGTGGATGTTTCCTCGCTCCGTGCCGACATACAACCACTTGCTTTGGAAAGGCAGATGACAGAACGTTATCCTGAAACAGAGAGCGAGAGAGGACAGAGAGAGATTCAACATTTGCAGGCAGGGCTGAACCAAATGTCTGCAAAAATGCAAGATGGGTGTTTTAATTGATGTTAATTACACTGTAATTGTGTACTGTCTGGGCTATGTCTGAATGAAGGAATAAGCAAATGAAAGTGTGTTAGCTGGACCTGATGGCAGCATTTTCCAGCAGGTCCCCAGGCGCTCAGCAAGCGGAGCGGAGGGGAAGCTAACACTTCCATTACTGAGCTCTTCTGCTTAATCACAAATGTTAATCCCAATTACAGCAGTGACAGTACTGACTCGCCGGCCTTGCTTAAGTGCTACATTTTCACGCAGAGCTACTGTGTTGCTGTCTAACGGGTCTTACTGAATGTGACTGATTAACCCTCAGAAGTCGCAGTTAATGCCAGCGATTACAAAAGCGCATACTAATTTTATACTAAACATTTCTAACCCATAGGTCACTGAAACAAGTGAAGAAATTCTGTTGAAAATGTGGAATCGAAACAACTGATATCACAGCTGTGTGAGGCAGCAGAAGAGGAGAAATTTTATGATTTGAATTTGACAAAACGTTATTGCTGTTCAGGCCTGTGACAATTATTATATCACCTGATCATTTTAGCTGACCCCAATTATTTTCCACAGCTGTTACCTTACATATGTTTACATTGCAATGAATGTGAATGGGGTACTTTTTCATCTGAGGGGTTGAGGCAAACATATGTAAACAAAATAATGCAGAAAATGTACAATGAGCCTTCCAAAAAAAAGCTCAAACGTCTGACTGGTTTTGTAACACTTTTAGAGGGCAGTGATGAGTAATGTTTGTTTATTTGAGCTTGAGTTGTTGTTTAATACCAGTTGGGAAGCAAAATAGCTAATCATTCAATTTAGAACCTGTACTTTAAATGACACATAGTAAACTAATCTGCATTTCCTTTGACAGTTTACTTGTACATTAGTTGTCACTGTATTAGCCACCTGAGAAATCATGAAATATAAAATCTCTGCCATTTTGACATATTTCTCTTTGACAAAAGTCATGTGACTCTATACACTGTTAGGATTTGCTGCTTGATTCTGCATCATATCCAATTATTGCTTTAAACACTTCCGTGATTTGACACGTTTTGACTGGATCTAGGCTCCGCCCGTTGTCCTCCTCTCCCCCACACCTGCAACTGATGCTGATCTAATTAAGACTGCTTTATATATGCCTTTGTTTCCACTATGTGTTTGCAAGTCTTTGTGTTCAATATCTGAGTTCTGAGCCTTTTTCTTGTGTTTGGTTTTCCCTAGTTTTGACCCCTGCTACTCTCTTTGATTATAGATCTGCATCTTTTTCTCCAGTCCCTGTGTCACTGAGTGGGGCAATGGGGACACAGTGGACACAGAGTACCTTAAGGCAGAGGAGGGTTTCAAGGCTCCGCCCAGTGCTATGGAGAGCACTGGCCCGTCAAAGCCTGCCCTCAAGGCTCCACCCAGTGCTACAGAAGGCACTGGCCCGTTGGGACTGCTCCTCCTGCACCGGCTCCTGTTCCTGCGCCTCGGGCGGCTCCTGTTCCTGCGCCTCCGGAGGCTCCTGTTTCTATTCCTGCACCTCAGGCGGTTCCTGTTCCTGTTCCTCATCACATTCCAGTGCTGACTGACTTGGATTCTTCCAGGCTCCACCCATTCTCCTTCTCTCCCCCATGCTTGCAACTTATGTCGATCTTATTAAGACTGCTTTATATACCCCTTTGTTTCCAAAGACCCCTGTTACTCTCTTTGTTTTGTCTGATTATGGATCTGCATCTTTTCCAGCCTGCCTGTGTGTTGACCCCTGACTGCTATGACAATGAGTATTGGAATGCCCTTGAGTCACATCGCACTTGCAACCTGCCTCAACCCCTACAGTACACAATGACAGCGGTTGCCATTAATATGCAAAATTAACATCCAGAGAATGAAACGTTCTTCAAAGAACAGAACATGACAGGGTAGAAAACATTATACTATAGTAGTATTTGGATGGGATTCGATTTAAATGGGGAAGTGAGGAAAAGCAATTTCATCTATCTATATATTTAATATTTACAGAATATCAATACAATGATTCGCATGGGACATTTTTCATGTTTTAATGTTCGGTGTCACACACTTGAGTAGGCAGGTACATACTGGCTTGATTTGATCTACAGAGAACAAAGAAAATGCTTCTTAGCATGATTTCGCACTTAAGAATACTCCTTTTCTACAGAAGACATGCTGATTGGCACAGGATTAATATAACCTGGAGTTATTTCTACAGCTCGTTTTACAGAAAGTGTAAGGCCACAGCATCTTAAACACATGGCAGATTCAGACAGGAATGAGATCACTGAGAAATGCTGGCAAAATGACATTACCCCTCCTTTCCATGTAAAACCAATCATGTCAGAATAGGGCTTAAGATTAAATTATGGCGTTATCCGTTTTATACTCTTCACAGCTGTCTTTAAAAGCATAGTGAACTATATTATGTTATGAAGCAGTTGGTATAAAGTAGAGGGAAAATTAATCGCTGCTTCCCCACATGGTAGCCTAGGCAAGCATGCTGCTCTACACCAATAAGAGTCATTGGTCAAGACTTCTAACTCTACATTTGCCTCCCTCGGCATCATGATTAAACTGTAAGGCCCGTTTTACACATACTAACGCGTGTTGCTTTTCTTTTTGATGCTCATGTTAAGAGGTCAGAGTTCTCAGGCTGTGCAAGCAGAACAGCAGAGTTTCCCAGATGCAGCAGTACATCTAGAGAAAAGGTGAGGAGCCTATTTTATAATAATAATCAGAAAAAATGAATATTAACTTCATAAAATGCAATTCCTACAATTCAAGACGATTCTGAAACAATATTTGCATATTTGGAAAAGTATGTCTTTTCCAAATATGCAAATATTTCCACTATTTGTAGAACTTGGTTGTGGTACCCCTCCGCAGCGCAAACTCTGTATATGTGAATGGCCATTGCATGCGAGCTGTAGAAGCTGCACTGCCACATTGCTAATGTCACACAGTGTCCGCCAAATGCATCAATGTAAATTAACAAAAATGAAGAATTAATAGCTTAATTGCAATTATATATATGCCAATTATTTGTCAAATAAAAATTCATGACTGTGACAGGCCTACCTCTAAGGGTTAAAATGTCTGATGGAGATTTAAGGATTTTAAATAGAGCAGCGCCTTGCTTGGTTTAGGTGTGGATACAATGTTGATACACAGACTTACACACATACACACACACACACACACACACACACACACACACGCACACATACACACACACACACATACACACACACACACATAACACCTGAGTCCCAGTCTTTATACCAGTACCCTGCAGAATCATGCATATATTCATAAGTGAGAGTGAGTCAGGATATCATCACACTTTCCTCTGTCTGTCTCTCACACACACACACACAAACACATACCAACGCCTCACAAAAGAGGACTGGCAGACCCCACAAGCTGGACAGCTGATGGTTGCAGCTTGCCATTTCCTCTCTTGAGAAGAAGGAAAAAGCAACAGTTGAAAAAAAGACGAGAGGAGAGAAATAGAGAGAGAAAACAGGAGATCCTCTTGGAGGCCAAGCAGATCTAATCTTCTGCATGTAAGTAAGTGTTCTCTCTTTCGACGAACTGCCAGGGTCAAGAACTCAATTTCCCATGAGGACCTGAATACCAGCAGCCTTTCAGAAGGGCTTATGGAGCACAGTACACATAAATAGACGGTGCACTCCTGACTGAACGATGACATGACCCCTTCTGGACCCATAACTGCAGCTCAGGAAAGCTAAGCAGGCCAGCTATTGCGGTTCTTTGAAGTCATAGTTAGGTGATCAGTGGTCAATGTAGTCGATCAGCCAAGACATGCCTGGTGTCTGAAATTCTTTAATTTTGCATTGGACCTACCTATAAAAATGGACAAAGGTACATCATATTATCTTGAAATCTGAATTTTGTTTGTACTTTTTTCCATTTTTTATAAATAACAGTGTGTTATATGACCACTTAAGAATACATATTTGAGATTATTTAACAACCTGAAATTACTGGAGGCATGTCCGTGATAACTATATGCTAGACACAAAGCTCCAAAACTACAGAGGCAAATTCAGACACCAAACATCTTGGCTGATTGACTACATTTCGAGGGGAAAACTGGATAAATCTAACTAAAAATTAATATTCCTTTAAACCACACGAGCTACTTTCTATAGGCAGTTTGACAAAATGCGTCCCACACACAGAATCAAATATCTTCTAATTCTATCAATGAAATGTCAAACACCAACAACAGATAAGCCAAACAGCAGTGTAACCTGTTGAAAAACCAAGACAAGCCATTAGAAAAATCTCTATGAAAGTAGGGCTGCAAGATGAATTGTATTTTTTCCATCATCCCAATGTGAGTATACAAGATACATATAATTGTTAAGGGCTGCAATAACAGAACAAATAAAATCACATCATACACATCACATCAGAGCGACACAATTCAATTGGCTAGAATTCAGCATTAGGAGCACAAAAACCAAAGACATAATTAAATTGCTTATTTTAATTATACTTTATCTAATATCACCATTGCAGCTTCATTTCACATCGCACGTTCATATTATGCAACTGTAACTGTAAGGATGCAAAATCTGGCGCAACCAAGGTATGTGCAACCAGCCAAGATCAGAGTCAACAGACTTTTGCTCCAAACATGATGGGCAGTCGGCCAGTTTATCTTTTTGATTTTGGACTATCTGTGTTACAATTTTATGAAATAAATAGTCTACATTTGAATGCTGCTGTAACACCAATAACATACAGCGGTAACACAATTATGCATGACCTAATGAGTTAAATAAATAAATTTTGATGTAGGACTTTTCATTTACAAATTTAAAATGCCAGATTCACCCATTAAAGAGCTAATAATGTTATTTATATTGCAAGGTTTAAAAA